AACAATTACATCTGTTTGATTGATATGGAAAAAAATCTACCAAATTTCATTACAAAATAAAAAAGGTATGGCAAATGTCCTATAATGCAGACACTGAGGTGTTCAGATCTACTATCAGTAAGGAAGTGTTTCCTTCCCTGTCAGGGGACCATTACTGGCATGGTATATGGAATCACAAAAAGGATACTGTAAAACTGATTTTTTCATTTCTACAGCTAAGAACTGTTCACTATTGACGGGAGGAGTATGCAAGCGGACTGATAGCTTAGCCGGTAGTCAGCTTCGACACTGTATTCAAGGGGTCCCGGGCTCAAGTCCCAGTCAGGCTGCATATTTAAAGTGTGTCTTTACACAATGTTTGTATAACGGTAATGACGTCATGTCAATTATATGCACAGTTGTGCAATACCATATTTACGGAGTGGCAAAATTGGCACCGGTGTGTGATAAAGCATTATATTATCACACACCAGTGCCTATTTTGCGACTCCGTAAATATGGCATTGTATGGCCATGCATATATTTTGACGGGACGTCATTAACGTTATACAAACATAGTGTAAAGACATGCTAAATGTTAGCGTTAAACTATAGGCGCGTCAAAGAAAAATGACTCTGATTTCACTTTAAACGGTCTTTATTTTTAGTATGTGTTAATTAGAATATTATATTAAATTTGTGTATGTTCATTACTGAATTTATTGCGCTCATTGAATAAAGTAAATATTATGCTCACCAGTTAGAGGTCGCATAATATAATTTTATTCAACTCGTGCAATAAATTCAGCATTGAACTTACACTCATTCAATATCCTCTTTTTAATACATATTAAGCGCACGTCAGTTAATTTCAATTTTAAGTGATATGAAAAATAATTTCTGATGCGCTGTCTTTGTAAATCCAATAACTTTACATCACAACCGGTTTCCTTATTTTCCTCATTTTTTTACTCTTGACTACTGTTTCAGACCTAAAATAAAACTGCGTTCTTAATATTTATATATACTCATTTATTGTAATGCCCTAGAAATTTTACCTTTTTTGTGATTTCACTGGATTTCTGTAGACTGTTTATTTCTACTTTCACTTTCGTTTTGAGAAGATTTTACTGGCGACAAGACAAGATAAATCATGCGGTGTCCTAATGAAACATACAGGACATCAACTTAAATTTACGTATTGTGCCAGCAATTTAATCATTCCTGATTCTGGAAGCTTTTCCCTTAATGTTATCCATTTCCCTTAAGTTAATGTTATCCGTGGTAGAATCATGTGTTTTTTATCTGTTTTCGTGACTTCTGTCAAAATAGTTTATTCCTTTTACACTCAAGATTATATAGTTCGATTGTTTATGATGCAGCCTCACTTAATATTTAGATATGCCTCATAAATCCATCTGAATTTAATTGTTAGCACTGTATATTTATAAAAATTTGCAATGCAGAATTCAATGTCGGCCATGTTGGACTATTACGTAGAGATTACGTAGTGAATGCAAGGGATAGTTCTTTATTTGATTGCGCATAAAAAGGAACACGTTATCCTAACTATTTTACATTCGATATAAGCGCACGATAGCTTATAAATATTTCTAAAAATCATTTGTTGAGGCTGTGACAATTATTAATTTCGGTGATAGGTTGAGTGCATTTCAGTTCTTACATAAACTCGTTTAAAATACATTTCTAATTACCATATAGATCTATATGGCTACCATATAGATCTATATGATAATCAAAATTTATCGTTAAACGATCTACATGTAGCTAAAGTTGTTAAAAACCTAAAATGATTACGATGTTTTAATAAATGTTTAGAAACATAGCGTGCGTATATCGTTTAGCGTATTTCGTTTAGCGTATATCGTTTTGCGTGCCTCTGCGTATTTCGTTTCGTTTTGCGTGCGTGTAACGTGCGTTCGTATAGCGTGTAACGTGCGTTCGTATAGCGTGTAACGTGCGTTTTGCGTGTAAACTGACACGTTCAACCTACTGTAAGCTCTTTTGACGTGGAAATATGAGAAAGATGATTTTGGCTTCCCTCGGGTGTTAATAACAAAAGACCAGGATCTAAAATTTATTGTATTTTCCTGGAAAAAAATGGTAAATAGATGTTTAAAATAGCTGATTTGCAAAGAAACAATCTTATTACGGGATTACATCGACAAATATCAAAACAAATACAAAAAATAGATCAAAATAAGGAATAATTTTATACAATCAGGATTAATATTTAGATCAACTGTAAAATGTCTATATCTTGTTGGAAATCTAAATATTAATTGTATTTTTTAAAATGTTATTTTAAGTCCAATTCTATCATGTTAATACTCTTATTAATTAATATCAAACATGATCATACGTAAAGTGTGAGAGGAAGAATAATTAAAAAACGCAGAAATCCAATTTTTATTAACTTGTAATCATAATAATCATACTTTTTACATGCAAAGGTTACGACAAATCTGTTTACTAGTGTACATTTCCCTTCTTGGTCTATGTTTAAACAGGATAATTTGTAGAGAACGTCTTTAAAGAAGCTGTAATTAAATACAAAATCCAGCCATAAAAATGTATTGCTGGGCTCCTTGTCGGTAGTCCTGTATTTGGGGTGTTGGGGTGTGTGTTCTTGAATTTCTTGTTGATCTTGGTTTTAGAATTTTGTTGTAATAATTGTGCAATGTATGCAATGTAAGCATAGTCAAACAGGGATATTTTGTTAGGCTCTTCCAATGTCTCCGCTCCAATGGCAGTTCGAGTCACTCGGTGTTCTCGTCAATTATGTATGCCATGGACCATATATAGAAAGCTGAAATGTCAGTATGATATTCAGTTTGTTGAAACAATGATGTCCTGGGACAGTAAAATATGATTTACAAAAGATTGTTTATCAAATTTTAATGAATATTTGCCCGCCTGAAAGTTTATAAAGGTATTTGCGCTCTGAAGGATTTATTTGTCTGTTGTTTTTTTTTTTGTTTTTTTTTCTTTTTTTTTTTGTCTGTCGGTAATCTGTTTGCATGTGCCGCCATTCTTACATTACTTTTTATTTCATCAATAAAGTTAGATTAAGCTACATAATGAATAATTCTATAGGATAATTGAATTTAAGCAAGACTTTTCACAAGGTGTATTAAGAGATTTACAAAATAAAGTCGTAAAAAGTTCTATGGGTTGACTAAAAAAATACATTTATTTCTCAATTTTACTCGGCACAAGGGATCACCAATATCAGAAGATATGCAGAGCTCATTGATTGGGTTGCTACCTTCAAGGTCCAGGTCACATTTAAAGGACAGGAATTTTAAAGTCTAAATTTTGTGTCCGCTCTAAATTTTGAAACCGTTGAAAACAATTTTAAAAAAGTTGGCACAATTATCACACATTATGAGATGATATACAGAGCGCAACTATTGGGTTGTTATCCCAAAGGTCAATTTCATACAAAAAGTTTCAGTGTTAAAAAGTCTACATTTCGTTTCCGCTCCATAACTTTTAAAGATTTGATTATTTTAAATAACATGGCACAACTTATTTATTCTGATGTAATGGTTTGCCTGCCCGTACTCTGCCTTGTGCCCAGTCCTGTTTTTCTTTGGGGTCCTCCTGGGCTCCTTGCCGCTGGCGCTTGTTGCTGGGTCGGGTGGGGGCTGCGTTCATTGAATGCCGCCTTTCCTTGTCGATCTTGTTTATCATATTTTATCATCATCATGAGCCATTGTGCAAAGCGCAATAATTGGGATTCTACCCCAAGGTCAAGGTAACACTAAAATGTCAAGTGTTACAGGTCTACATTTCGTTACCGCTTCATAACTTCTGACCTGCTGAAAAGGTTTTGAAATAAGTTGGCAGTCGCAAAAGCAGTGCAGGTATGCAATGAAGTTATATATGTTATTGGTGTTGATGCTACACAATGGGTACAATTGTCTTTCCGCATATGCTGCAATGACGGTTATATATAAGATGTAGGAAGATACCTTTTAAGTATAACACGTTTTGCTGTTTCCTTAGGCTGTTTTCAAAGCAGATGCGGTTGTGCATTGTATATTTTTCAAGGTATTTGATATTTCTTAATGTGAAAAAGTAGTTACGTTTCTTTTTAATTCTATACACTATAGGTTGTAACAAAAGCTGGCATATTTTTTTAAGAAAAGACCGACAGTACTTGACCTAAAATAGGGAATGTAGCTTCTAATAAACATATATATTCATAGTTTTATTCCACTGAGAAGACTTTCAAAGATTTAAATAATTTTATGTGATTAAAATATTTTACTCAAGGATAAGCATAGTATATTTATATTAATTGCTTTATTATGCGTGTTTTGCATTTAATAATGTTGAAGTAAACAAGTCTATCAATGTGGGCATGCGGAAGAAAAATAGGATTCTAAGCATTTTGATGTTCTATTATTAAGATACATTGGTTTTAATTTTCTTCATTTTTGTTGTTATTCTTCTTTGTTGTTGTAAATGTGTTTATATTTTACTTATATTGAACGGTCAACATATTTTCCTCGATAAATCTGCTTTATGTAAACTCTTTCAAGTCGTTATGTTAATTTGTCGTTATGTTAATTGAAATCAAGCCTTTGACAACATTCAATGTTTGATTGTATTTAAGAGATTCATTTGAAACGTTATGTTGTCTAGGTTTTTAATGAATAATTCAACGCTTGCGCTATTATTGTCCAATTTATCGATGTCTGCGTCAATTGCTCTCAATGCAGTCAATGTGTTTTTTCGCGCACATATCGTTTCAGTCGGTGTTTTTTTTTACCCGAGGAAAACATATCTTTCCACAGTTTGTCACTTAACTTTCAGCTGAGACCATGAAATTAACTTTGAGTTGTATTTTGTGTTTTTGTATTGGCACATTCATTGTGCTAAACGTGCTAGGAAACATTGAGTTCTCAAGATATCTACCGCTGGACAATTATACGTGCGAAACTACACAAATAGCGTTTCATTTAAAACGCAACAGGAACGTTTTTGATCACATGGCACAGGAATGTAAAGGATGTTCGGCAGACTTTGATGACATACCTCGGGCTCGTAATGGGTCTGTCTATTACGCTCGTAATAGTAAGTTACCAACATAAGTAAACATGAACTTTAAAACTTCATACGTATTTACCTTGTTTACAATGTTTTAACATGTACCTTGCTAATACTTACAGTTTATATAAACGTACACAAAAAAAAAAAAAAAAAAAAAAAGATTTAATATATAATTAATAATATAAATTAAGTCTCGATGTAATGCATGTTGTTGGTCTTGAAAACCCATTATGCCTTAAAATGCTTTTATTTAGCAATTCTTAAATCATTACAAACCTCATATCTGCCCTTTCTTAAGAAAGAAAATTGAAACATATGTATTTCACAGGCATGTGCCTTTAAGAGAGAACATTTATTTCCTCATCTTGAATTTTACTTGAACTTTGTAGTCTCTATAAATCATAGAGAGTAGAATTTCTTTTAAATTAAAGAATAAGCATTAGAATTGCATATACCATTGTTTTTACCTTTGAGTTTCAGTGTGATACGTGAAACTGACTTTTTAGTTAATAAGGTCAAAAGCTTATTAATGTTATAAACATATTAATAATTCATATCTTATTGACACTAAGATCAGGGAGCAAGGCCGCTACATTGATGCAAATAAAATTGCAGCAAATTACTGTTGATTATAACATACATCAAAGTCAGTCTGATTCCGTTTTTTTTGTATAAATGTGTGGATGTTTGATTACTTTTTTGAGCAGGCACACATCACATAATGAAGTTCGCAAATGCTCAGTTCAACAATAAAGGATGCAATGAGAGCGAACTTGTGTTTCACAATTCCAACGTGACAAATTATCAACAATGTGCTGGAGCATGTGCTGACAATTCTTCGTGCTTCAGCTACTTCTATCACCCAGACAAACAAGAGTGTCTAGGATGTCAGTCTGAGTACAGCGTTCTAAGAACCAGTCCAGTGCTGGAAGAGTGGGCCGGCTCAATGTATTATGGACGATTTCGTAAGTTTGAAAAATATTTGTGTTTCGAGTCAGCAACCAGCATGATAGTTTATTCATAAAAGTGTTGAACTTAATTGTTTGTAGTTCATTTTTATGTCGGAAATGAAAATAAAGTTATAAATATTAATGAATCAAATTTTAAGTGATAAGAAAATATCGAATCATTTGTTATAAATAAGACAAAGAATATAATTTCAACTTTGTAAACTATGTAAGCGTTCATATGGTAGCTTACTTGTGCCATTTCGAGTTTTCGTGCCAAGTAACTTGGTCGTTAAATAGTGTTTTATACTTGTGCCTTGCTCCGAGAAGTCGTGACTTTGTGAGCGAAAGTTCGACAAAATGCATTCTTTGTCGTATTTTCGTGTCTTCTTCCGGCGCCAAAACTAGCGAGAATAAGACATGTCACAAATCAGTCAACCATATGTTCACGACATTTAAAAACGCATACAAAAACATGACGATCTACACAAACTAATTTTTGTTACGAACATATATAAATCTATGTGAGTCTCGAGATTTAATCATTCCATTGTCTGGTAATGATCACTTTATTTTTTTAAAACGTTTTAAAATAGAACCAAACGAAAAGATGAGAATATGTAATATTTATATTACATTGACATTTATCTGTTTCAAGGGTATCTCGGATGTTACGTCAACCTTCCTCTAATTTTGGAAAATGCCCATACACATTTTCCGGGAATGGTCACTGAATCATGTGTCGAACATTGTATAAGTGGAGGATATTTGTATGCTGTGACTGAGGTAATCATATGTTTTGCAATGTTTGAATGAACAAGATTGTTAATCTTAGCCGAGCTAGTAAAGAACCCCCTTTAAAACCCACTTTAAAAAATATATAAAAGAAGCTCCATTTAACACAAAAACAAATTTCTTAAGCTATTTCTATTATTTGCAATAAGATATGACAATTCTCGTTCAATTTGGATTAATACTTTAAGTGTTTAATACCTCTAAAGTCGGTGTACCGGGACTGGAGGATGTTTTATTATTAATTAAAAACTCATTTACAGGCTTAAAACCAAACCTAGACTTTTCACATATTTGCTTTGATTACATTTCACTATAGTGGTCACTCCTTTTTCCAGATTTGACTTAAATTTAATGTTAGACTATATGTTATCCAGATACACTTTCACCATTAACCGTATTATTATACTGATAAATTTTCACCATGATCTTGATACATATACACTTTCTTAATGAATCGTATTATTATACAGATTTACTTTCGCGATAATTCGTATCATAATACAGATACACTTTTACAGTAACCCATATTATTATACAGATACACTTTCTTAATGATCCGTGTTATTATACAAATTTTCTTTCAAAATTATCCGTATGATTATACAGATACATTCCCACAATTACCCGTATTATTATACAGATACACTTTCACGATGATCCGAATTATTAGACAGATACAAGTTCACTTTCACAATAATACGTATTATTATACAGATTTACAAACTTCACAATAATCCGTATTATTATACAGATTTAATTTTGCAATAATCAGTATTGTGATACAGATTTACTTTCGCAATGACCCGTATTCTTATACAGATTTAATTTCGCAATAATTCGTATTATTATACAGATTTACTTTCGCAATGACCCGTATTTTTATACAGATTTGATTTTACAATAATTCGTATTATTATACAGTTTTACTTTCGCTATGACCCGTATCGTAATACAGATTTGATTTCGCAATTATCTTTATTACTACATGTATTATACAGATACACTTTCTCAATGACCCGTAAAATTAAACAGATACACGTTCACAATGATCTGTATTATTTATACAGATACACTTTCACAGTGATCCGTATCATACAAAAACACTTTTAAGATGACCCGTATTATTATACAGATATACTATCACAATGATGCATTATCCTGTTCAATGTATATTTTAGAGTGGTTCTTGGTGTCAATGTGGCAACGTCTTCTCACCAAATACAACACTTACTGATGATCTATGTAACTGGACTTGCGTTGGAAATGTAGATCAATTTTGCGGAGCTACCAACGTAGGATCAGTGTACATCATACATTACTGGTAAAATGGCAAGGCTTGTAATGGAGTATAGTTGTGTCTAATGTATACACATTCTTTTAAGAATTATGTACACGATGTGATATAAACAAGTTTTTAACGGATGACAATAATAAAAAATAATATGAATTAAAAAACAACAACAACAACAAAAAAAAAACAACAACAACAAAAGAAAACGAAAAACTGAACAGTTCAAGACGCAAACACCTTTACTATCATGGAACTATCACAATATCTTTCGAAAATTGCATGATATTGTAATAAAGATTCAAATGACAATTTGAAAATATCTCTACAAACTTTAAGTTTATTGTTTGAAGAGGATGTTGTAGTTGTATTTAAGTAAAATTATCAATACCATACGAATATATGTGGTAAAAGAAAAACCAGTATTTTCTTGTTTTAAGTGTTTATAAAACATTTTCACTAAAGATGTCATCGTCGGATACCCAAGGTTGATGAACATGTTATCAATCCGTGGGGAAAAATTAATCCATTTGCGTAGAAATACCGCAGCAGGTACTTAAATTATGTGCAAATGAAATCGCATCAACAAATTGAGCCGTGTCCCGACAAAACCAACATCATGGCTTTGCAACCAGCATGGATCCAGACCAGCCTGTGCATCCGCGCAGTCTGATCAGGATCAATGCTGTTCGCTATCAGTTTTTCTACTTGTTACAGAGTTTGTAAGCGAACAACATAGATCCTGATCAGACACGGCTCAATTATATTCTTCAACGGCAACAGTCACAGTAAATTTACTATCATTTTTTACTGGAAATCGTTCACATATTTAAATATTGAACTTTTATCGGCTGCCGCAATTTTGTCTGCAATATTGGACGTTGGATAGAACCATCATTTTGATTTGTTTTGATCGCCTCATGAAATCGTATGGCAACAAATGAAATAGCTGTCCTTGACACATCTCTAATCGACTAGGTATCGGCCAATAATCCCATCACAGCTACATATTAATTATCCGACGATGTAAATATGTATTATTGAAAAATTATTACTTTAAAGTGATGAATGTAAAAAAATTTACATTTACTACATGCAATATGTTTTCTTAAAAATATGGTAATGTTTTGTATAGCAATTAACGAGACATTACCGAATATGGCGCAGACTTACGCTAATTATAGTTACACATTTTTACTAGCTGTTGCTTGTTGTACTTTGCTTTACTTAAAAAAAACATTACCTACATACATTTTGTAAAACAGTAGCAGCATAAATTTTGATGAATTGCATGACTTCGTAAATTGTTCCTAGTTTGATGGTATTCCATCGTTTCAAAATTTTGACATGCTGCTTATGATTTGATATTACATATTATACATGCATATAATAGAAATGTTAAATTACTCAAGTCAGTTTTGTATATGCACAAGTATAGTGCACGGTGGTGACGTTTTCCCGATTTAATCTGTACGAATTCAACTTCCATAATTCACGTTTTGAATTTCAACCTTTCAACTTTGTAAATGAATAATTTCAACTTTATGAATTCAAGGTTTCAACATTGTGAAGATGAAATCTTAAATTCTTGAGGTTGAAATCGTTAAGTTCAAAACATACATCTATGAAGTTTAAATAAAAAAGTCGTGAATCCGTGAAAGTAAAGTCTTGAATTTTCAAAGTTGAATTCTTGAATTTGAAATCGTGAATTTATGAAGTTAAAATCGTGAATTCATGGATTTTTGGTAACTTGCAACTCTCACTCATTGGCCATATAGATGATTTATGTTCACTCCTTTTGCTCTTTGTCAATTGGCATAATTACGGTGACTTAGTATTTTGTATGGAAATCAAAAAACCGTTTTGTTTACAAGCCGTCCGATTAGCTCAAAATGTAGAGAGTTGGACTGTTAATTGGACGACCGGGGTTCGATTCCCGGACTGCGCAGGTCTCTTTCGTTGTAATTGAGCATGATATCCTTACTACGGTCTCTCGCACTGTTTCTCTGATCTAAGATGTACAAAAGTTATCAGCTCCTTGCAAAAATAAAGCCAACTTGTTCAGACAAACTGCTTGACAACTTGCCCAGGAACAATGTTGTGACATTTTGCTACGGAAAATTCAATGTGGCTCTCTGTCGTGACCCGGAGGGTAAACTACAAACACCACCACCACCACTTTGTTAACATATTGCTACTTTCATGACGCATCCCTGCACATTTAGTGCTACATTTTTTAGACATTTGAAATCTAAAATGCTCTGAATCAACTATTAAAGCATATTAAAACCCAAGTTAGTATAAAAGTGTTTTATTTCTGAGGCCTTAAATAAATACAATCTTGTTCATTTGAACCAGCTACTTAAAAGAGCAATAGAGGGCCTTTTTGGCCATTTTTTAATACATGCCGACACAAAAGTAATGAATAAAAGTAGTTATTAACGTTGATTGATTATTATGTTATAATTGTTAATTAATAAGTAAGATGAAAATAATGTCATAATATTTAGAATCTGACAATCCCTTTAAACAGTGACCGATTTGAAACTATAATGTTCCGTTCAGAATTACTAAATTAAATGTAAAATATTCTTATGCATACCATCAAAAGACATTTGTGAATGTCATACAGTAAACAGCTTGTTTCCGTTTTCGGCCAGCCGTCGTTTCTTTTACCAGCAGCATATCTCAAAGACTATCAGAAGTTTTAGGACAGAGAGAAATTATTATTAAAAAGTTCTAATTCGGAACAAATTCATTGTCAAAAATTTCCATTTGAAGAATAATTACCCCGAGTCAGACCTTACAAAGCGGCGCGTGGATGGTGTTCAGTTTTGTTGTTTGTTTTATTGTTGTTTTGTTTTTTAATCTTTTGTGACATTGTTCTTTATGTATTACAATGTATTTTATTAGTAAATGTTACTACAGTTTTCTTATATGTGACAAGGTACTTATGTATGAGTTTCTGCAATAAAAAAAATCTTATCGATAAATAAGATAGTTACGTATTATGTGAAAATACTGAATTTTCTTTCCTTATAGACAATCATATTTCTTTAAAAAGTACCAAGAAAAAATAACTGTTTTGAAGATATTTAAACATGTTAAATGCGACCATAACTATAACAAGGTATATTTATAGATGCTTTTAACGCTAGACGAAATTGATGTACTAATTTAATTCCACCCGTATGTAATTATAAGCCATCGCCTTGATTAATATACAGTAGCGAAACTGAGTATCTTTGGGCACAATTTACTTGTTCGATGTACCATTGAGAACACCTAAATGTATCAGAAATTACTGGATTTAATGGATAATCTAAGCTACATTTTGAACAACATGCAGCTTATTCAAAAATGTTTTAAAAATCCCTTTTTTTCTTGTTTCGCTGCACGATAGTTTTAGAATTTACATCAAATATGTATGCCATTAGCCCATTATAAGCCCATAGAAGATATCTCAATATTCAGTGTGTCAATAAAAGAATGTTCTGTGACGGACGACTTTAATTTACTCCTTTAAATTCTGTTCGCATTTCATAAAAGTTTAATGTCTGTGAACAAAGCTGTCAGTCTGTTTCACATTTTTCATATTCTGCCTGATTTACATTAAAAGGGGGTAATGCAAACATACAACAATGACATTTGAATACAATGATTAGGAATTATGCGCTTGAAAGCTGTTTTTTGTGAGAACGAAAACGACTACAATACAAACGCTCAAACATTTAAACATAGTTGGAGCTCCACTGACCGAAACTTGACAACCTTTGTATCGATAATTGAATGAAACAAAACAGAACTAAAAAGGAAATAGAAACAAAAATATTTGCAAGTAACAAATGTTATTGTTTCGCAATTTCATCTTTATATTCGTATGACATTGTATTAGAATCGTGAATTATTCATGGTAAAATTCCAATTCTAACACGACTCGAATTATTCCCTATTGAACATAGAAGAACCGAAAGTGTGTGTTATTATGCAATAAAATCACTGTTTGACGTTCTATATTTAGAAATGTGACGTAATCATTATACACGTGACGTAACCACTAAAAATGTGACGCGCTGACAATAAGTACGGAAACAAATCAGACGCAATTTAGCTAATTATCATGTACGGCAGCATTTATTTGTTGATGTCGTGTTAGAATCGAAATAATATATCCAAATCGATGATTTTATTGCTTGATAACATCACTGTTTGTCGTTCGGATGCGCATCATTATATCACTCGGGCTACGCCCTCGTGATATAATTCCCCGCATCCGAACTCCAAACAGTGATGTTATTGCGCAATAAAATCACAGTTTGGGATATATTATTTCTTAAATAAAGGACTCTTAGAGCGATAAAAAAAGATTGCACCAGACATACAACATATTTATATTCTCTGGTACAAAAGGAATGGACAGTGGAAGAAATTGTATGAATAACATGAACATATTTAACTTTTGAAGCAATTAATGATACTTGTTCCTTCGACATAGCATTCTCATTTCCACAATGAGCTATTTAAAAACATTGTGTTCATCAGCCATTTTAATTTATTAGTTTCATACCAACTTACGTAGTACGAACAGAATATTAAAGTGGAGAGAAACAAGAATCCCTAAAGAAAGCCCAACACGGCAAAATTGAAAATGTTGCAGGCTCGGTTTGATTGAGCATGTTCATGGACGGTACTGTCAAGTGTTAACTACCGTCCACGCCCCTAGCACCGGCTTAAGCAGAATTCAACATTTAACATGAAATGGTAAAATTGTAATAATTGTAAAATTGTAATTTTCTTTTTACGTTTTTTATAGCATTATCGTACAATCTGCTACAAAATATTTTACTGAAAACTACATAAAAAATATTAAGTCATTGCATGGCCTGGTTAACTCGTTACCACGGGATAATAAGTCGTTCAATTGAACTAGCAAAATCCAGCATGCACGAAGTTATTCCTTCAAGTTGGAATCTAGTGGGAATAAGAGAAAATGGAGATAAACAATAAGCAAAAGGGTGGTGCATGAAGCTTCACTAC